TAGTTGAAACAATTTAGCAAATGGTAGAGAAAAACTGTACTATCATTTGTTAAAACAATATGAAAATATTTACTCTTACCCACATGAATAAGTCAGGTACATAATTGTGCTTCTGCTACTAAAATTAGCAATTTAAATTGTGTTATCTTTGTGATAGATCAGTTCAAGCAATTACAATGTCATTGTACCTTTTACTTAATATACATTATTTCTCTGTGTTATTTCCTCAATAAAAATAATATTAAAAATCTTAGTTCTTAATTCCAACACTTCGCTGCTTTTCCCTATATATTCAAAATTCCAACCAATGCATTGCTCAACACTTGTATCACTTTGTTTTATATGTAAAAAAGTGACAAAGTGAAATGTTAGAAAATGTGCATACTGACCAATATCAGCAATTCTTAATCTTACGTTTCAAAAAGTAACCCAGAACTGTCAGCGGACAATGATATCGTTCAGTGTTGAACATGCTGCTTCTTTATGACACACAATAATACTTTTCTTAGTAACTGTGAATTAGGCATCTCATAAAATCTAACCAGCAATATTGGTCCTATAACTATACAGTTATGTCTATAAGAGGTCTTACTTAAGAATCCTTCAGACTGAACTAACACTGTTTTCCCTAGAGTAAAATAAGAATCATTATAGTATCTATATATGCCTTTAGAACATTTTTATATACATGATATCCATTATAATTTAGAACTGATTTTACTCCCTCTTAAATCAGTGAAAATATCAATTCACCTAAAATTGACTATTTTATCCAAAGTCATGATTTCCCCTTTGTGGCAAGTAATTTATTTACTATACCCCCAATTCTGGAAATTCATCTTACAGTTGCAAAAGATTACCCGGTCCCAGATATTAAGCTTAACCTAAGGTAAGTGACCAGCATGTTTGGACAAGAATGTATTTCCATCAGCCCCATTTTTTCCTCCCAGCTTGATCATTCCAAAACATAACTAGCCTGCACAGAACTGAAAGATCTAAAAATATGGAAATCTCATTTCCTCAATCATAAGAACAGATGGATCCTGACCATATATGATTTTATTATTTTTAAAATAAGGAAGAAATATATTAATATAAGAAAAGCAGGATCCATGACCTCAAGGGAACTACCACATTCTTTTGGCAATTCCCAGCATGGCCTTTAGGAGATTTGAAGGGACAAAATAGGTTCCTTAAGATTTGTAAAGTTACCAATTAGTAATATCAGAACTGTCCTTACAATCTTAATTTTTGCAACTTATTTTAACATATCTACTTCAATCAAGGCAACAGAACTTGTGTTTTAGAAGTGTGGCCTTTGACATGCTGTACAAGTCCAAGTGACTCTTTTGCTGGCAAAAGTCAGGTATCTTGAATTACATGCATTCCTCTAAAAACTAGTCTATGGCTCTTAGTATTTAAATGGATTTACCAAAGTTGATGAAATGTAGGTTAAATGTCTCTGAAAAAGATATAATCTTTTGTCATCTTCTATGCTCTAATAATATTAAAAATCCACCCTTCCAAAGATATATTTTTTCCAAAACACAATTGTTATTCATTTCTTTAGATCCTTGATCTCCATACAAGTGATTTATTTCAGCGTTTAAAAACATATTTTAAAAGTGAAAAGAACATCTAAGAATAGAAATGACAAGAGGGAGTTTAGACAGGGCTGATAAGGCTTCATGTGATTTTGATGAGAGATTTTGTAATGCCACTACTCCTGGCATCATAAAAAAAAATATGGGAAAGAGGAGCACACACATATTTCAAGATTCATTTACCAAGAATGCTGTTTACCTACTGAGACCTGCTGACGTTAACAAAAGCATTAATGAAACAAAAAAGAGGTGTTTCAGTCCTATAAGTCCTATTCTCAATTCTTCCCAATATTAACTGACGCTAATGCAATAATATTTCATAGCATTCAGTAATATTTCATAGTATTGCTGACAGAAGTTTTAAATATTATTACTATGTGCATGTGTGTATGTGGGATGTATGTCTCTCTCTGTGTATGTGTATGCATGCTGGCCAATACTCTTAAGGTACTGACTAAGAGCCAAGTGCGTTTGAATTAAAATTCAGTTTTTGCATAACCCTTCATATGCAAAGCTAAGACTGTCAGAAAAATGTGATTCAGTGTGCATACCAGCTGATGAGTTGCCCTTCATTGTAGTGAGTAAATGAGAAAAATGAAATAAGAGAATATTTTCAACTTTTCCAGATTGGCTCGTGTGGCAGTGGCGTGGGGTGGGGGGTTGGGGGATAGATGTGATAAATTTGGGCTTTTTTGAAATCTTGCTTGGGATTTTACTGAGTAGAATGCTGATACTGTATTCTATGCACTGGTAAAATACACTTGCTTTTCATTTAATAAGCTGGTGTCAAGTCTTTCAGCATACACAATATTTAATTGATGATTTAAATGAAAGATAATCATGCAAAGGCAGCTGCTCCTCTCTGTCATGATTGCTTCTATTACATATTTTCAAAAAATTGCTCACTACAAATTAGCTTACTTACACTTGAGTGACATATACATCCCAAATCCTACATTTGAAAGTCCCATCTCAACAATTCATGTCAGATGTAAGAGTACTTGTCATTCACAGAGGTAAAATGAAGGGCATCTGACTTTTCCGAGTGAAAATGTATTTCTGCTATGCAACATTTCCACAGAGCGTGAATAGTTTTCTTTTGTTATTATACTTAAAGACAAAAAAAGTACCAAGTACCACCTTAATTACTCAAATGTTAACTTAGAATGCCTCAACATGCTTAAAAGAGAAACATGGAGGACTTCCTAGTAGTTCTAACTACTGAACAAAAAAAAAAAAATCTGACATGGGTCTCCTCTCTAGAACATAAAGGAGAAGAAGCTAGCTTAGAAAAAGAGGTTAATCCTGTTGAAGTGCAAGGTGAAAGTGTTCCACTTTCTATAGCACTTAGAGTAAATAAAAACTAGCAGGACACAGAGTGGAGGAGAAAATCAGGCGCCATAGGAAGTGTGAAAGTTACAAACAGAATTCAGGAATGGGGTGAAGGTGAATATGCAGCTGTACAAGCATGCTTTTAGTTGGGTCAGTGGAGGAGGATGCAAAGTTAACAGGAGTTAAAGAGGAGGAAAGAGAATCTTAAGTAGGGAATTTAAAAATGTAGGAAAAGTGTTATAACCTTGGGAAGAATAGATGGAACTTGTAGAAAACAGCCCAGAGAGTTTTTGTGCAGTTTCATCAATCGGGGAAAAAACTGTTGAGAGTTTAACTCGAAGATATGATAGGTGTAAACTTTAAAAGAGAGAAAATGGGGAAATCCTGTTCAAGATTTGTAGCTATATAAAAAGGTGTCTGATGAGCAGCAAACAGAGCAATCTGAACTGTTTTGAAAACTACAAAACAACACAGAAACTAGTTCTCGCGATTTTAGAAAGAATGATACAAAGATGTTTGTATCTATGCAATGAGGAATGAGATATTTCCCTCATTTCTCTGAGGGAAAGAAAGCTTTGAAAGGTTTATATATTGTTAAAAGTAAACAACTCTTTTCCTATTTTAAGCCGGCTTGGCATTATGTAATTCTGTGCTTTGTTGTTAGAATAAAACAAATTAATGTTAGTGCCTAAAGATAAATACAGATTTCAAAACAGAATGAAAACAGAAATAGAATAAAGATTAACATTTGTTAAAGTTGTCAATTTCAGACCTCATCAAGAGGTTTGTAGCTAAAACATTTAAAAGACTTAATTTTTTAAAAAAAAACATAAGACAATATTTTTTTAAAGCCTATAAAGTAAGGTCTCCAAATTTGTTAGATGGTTGTGATAATTGGGCTATTAAATAATTTTAGTTATTAATATAGAACTCAGCCACCTACACTTTCTATTTAGAGGGTGTTCTTCAAACTGTAGCAGGTTTTAGGTAGCTGAGTCTCAGATAAAATTCACTCTTTCCTCTTCAGCCTACCTAATTCACAAGAAACTGCTCATTTATTTTTTGAGTAAAATTTACCATAACCTGAATCTTTATTCAACTTTATGATTATGTTTTACTTTATAATTCTCCATAATCCACCTTTGAGCAAGTTATTTAGGAAAAAATTATTCTCCTGTGCCTTTGTGTGTTTATATATATATATTTTAAAAAAAATAGAATTTATCTCACTGTAACAATAGTCTATCTATGGAAGTTGTGGGTTCTCCATTTTTGGTGGTGTTTGGAAGAGACTGAAGTGCCCCCTCTCAAAGAGGCTTTTATGATGTTCTTGACATTGCAGGGAGTTGGATTAGATGATCTTTGTGGTCTCTTTCAACTCTATAATTCTATGAACTAATTAAAAATATGACAATTTTTAATTGGATTATTTAAAAATATGCAGTGTGTATGATAACACTTAGTACTGGTATTATGTCTATTTCTAATAACGTCACCTTTTTCAGAGGTAGATATTAAAATCTACTTTTCCCAATTGTTCCTATTAATAAAAAGAGAAGGTATAGAAGGATGACGGGAGTTTTAGTCCAAAATTTCTGGAGGATGCTAAGCTGGGCAAGGTTGCTATAGAAGAAATTACCCTGCTAATTCTGAAAAAAATAAATGTTAAGAAATGAAGATCTCCATAATACCAGGAGGTGAGACAACTTGTATGAGGTTTTGCACATTTGTTTCTCTAGGAAAACAAGGATCCATGAAGAACGGCAGGTGAAAATGTCTCAAGTATCCTAAAGAAAACTCCTTCCTTCATTTCCTGCAGGAAAACAGATTGCACGGAGGAACAAGAAAATCAATCATCCCATTTATAAGACAGTAAAGTGGGGTTTCCTGTCATAAGCCAACCTGGGAAAGACAGTGGTGTTTCTGTGAGGCAGGGGATTTCTCCCCAAGTCACAGGATGATAGTATTTGGAGTGAGATTATTTCACTCACATCAGTGCACATTCATTGCTCAGGTTGTGGAAAGTGAAAAAAAAAGGTACTGGGGTCCACACTCTGTTCTCACCTGTGGATGTTCATTTCCTGTGGCGGTTGTCGTGCTTTGTCATATGCCACCTTAGCAAAAATGCCCGCAATGACAACAAAGGCAATGGCCCCACATGAAATGTAGACGGTGGCATTTGTGTTGTCCTCATTAGGGTCATACCCATTGGGTATATCTCCAGCTCCATTATTGCTGGTGGCAGGGGTCATAGGATCTGTGCTAGGACGGGGGTCCTGATTTCGGCACTTTTCCTGATTGAGCTTCTTAGAGCGCTTGTTGCAGCAGAAGCGGAAAGAGCAGGTGCCACAACAGTAGCGAAAATCCTGCTGAGTATTGTTGCACTCAAACTCTTTGTCCCACTGCCCACTCACATCATAGTAACCCATGCATGTCTCATATGCTGGGATGGAATTGCCTGCACTGCTGCTGCTACTGCTGCTGGAGGAGGGCACCTTTGCTGGCCCTACACCAGGACTGCGTCCACGGCTTCCTCCGCCACTGGCTTGCACAGAAGAAGGGGCCGTGCTGGTTAGGGACTGGTTCAGTTGCTCCTTGGCTGGCTTGTAAGGTCTCCGAGAGGCTCCTGCCCCCTGTGTCCGGTTGCCCTTGGGCGTCCGTGGGGGCCCAGCTGCCTGGGTGGTCAGAAGTAGTGTCAGGACATACAAAGCAAATGGTAGAAGCAAGAGGAGATGCCTCCACCCCATGGTGAGTTGAAAGACCAGAATGGAGGAGGAGGTAGGGGGGGGGGCTCTGGCCAGCCCAGTCCAATCAAGAACCTCGGTCCTGCCACTCCATGGATCTGAAGAGGAGCAATTTGGCACTTCACTTCATCCTGATAAGAAACAAGAGGCACTACTCGGCTGCTTCAGGGCAAAGATGGGCTCTTCTCCGAATCCCGACCTCCTTATCACAGCTCCTCCAGTGATGGGCTACAAGAGAGAAGGAAACATCAGAGGCTACCTGCCCAGGCAAAAAATGAGTCGGAGAAAGAAGCTGGGACAGTGCTAAGGGAGGCTGGAGTTGCCCCCAAGGGGGCCTACTATGACTCCGAATTGAGGAAGGAGGGAAGAGGCAGAACTGTCCAGAAGAAGCGCTGAAGGTCTCTTTGGGGCAGGGACCCCCCCCCCCAAAAAAAAAAGAAAAAAAAAAGAATCCTCCCACCCAGACCGGATCGGGGCATGGAGAGAGGAGGGGGCGGGAAATGGCTGCTATGCCGTCGGGACTTAGCACCCCCGAACAGGGAAGCTGTTCGGATACCAATTCGGGGAGGGAATTCCCTTGCCACAATCCCAGGCGAGATGGAGCACCACCGACAGTAGCCACGCTCGAGCAGAACCTGGCTGCCAGCAAGGACTGCAGTAACCCCCGTTCCCTTTCTTTCTCTCTCTCTCTCTCTCTCTCTCGCCCAATGCCCTTGTCCCCAAGTCGGCTTGCATTCCTTCCTTCACTTACCATGCCGGGGCGGAGCGGGAGCACTGCGGAGACGCCGCGCTGGGCATCCGTGTCGCCGCGCACTGGCCGGAGCTCCCTGCGCCGCCGCTGTTGCACGCCCGGGCTGGAGAGGAGCTGCTGCTGTTGAGCGGGCGGGGACAGCTAGAGGCTTAAAGAGGAGTGGCCACCGCCTCTCTTCGCCTCTCTCGGCCCGCCCAGTCCCGGTCCCCTGCGAAGAAATCGCAACCTGGGCAGCCAGAGGCCGGAGAAAGCACTGGGTTGGGGGGGGGGGGTGAGCGGGAACCTGATCTTGGCCACTTAAGCCCAGCCCAGGCCCAAAGACCCCTGTCCCGCTCCGGCTCTCCGCACAGAGCCACGCTTTTCGGGATACGCGGCTGAGCTGAGGGCTCTCTCCCGTCTCGCCTGAGGGCGACAAGAAGCCTTGGTCAGAGGCGGGAAAGAGCCCGGCGTAACCGCCTCCCTCTGAGTCGGGAGACTTCTTTCTTCCGAGAGTGTTAAACGGGGGGAATCGTGTTTGTCATCACACGTGAAAAGAGGACTGCGTTTGGCATGAAGTTGCGGACTGAACTAAAGGCGCCGAGAAAGTGCTCCCGCGAGGAACTGTGGCGTGGAAGTTTGACTGCGCCAATAGGCTCTATAGCTTGGAGATAGCAGCGCTCTTTACATGCCATCATGCGGGGGGCGGGAGACGGGGGAATCACTCCTTGCCATATCAGGTCGCTGAAGAATTCAGGTTCTGTGTTTTCGCCAATAACAGATTTTAGTCTTCACTTCATCTTAAAACGAATACTGGAGGGGGAAAAAAGGGGGGGGAACCTCCCATTTTCCGCTGTCAAAAGATCTCCAAATGTTACGTGTGCATTCCTTGAAATGAAGTGACAGGCAACCTCCACAACCAAAAAATCTGAACAGAGTCCTGATGTCTACAGAATACTGTACACATACATACACACCGGGAGAAGCGGAGTATCATTTCCTGGGTTTGCCCACTCGTGCACAATTCCAGGTGAATGGAAATAGCAGATATGAAAAGGATTGCAGTAGAATTGTGATGACAGACTTTGGACTGTTTGTTAAATCTCTGGGGGGGAATCTCGTGTTTCCGAATGTGTCATGTGCTCGGAAGAATTCGTCAGTGTACTGAAGGAACAAATCCCTGCTAAATTCCAGGAACCTTCTATGTGCATGAGCATTAATTAAAACAAAATAATGATAACTCTCCAACTGCTTTTGGAATTGGCACACAATGCAGAATTCCGCCCCCTTAGCCTATTTCTTTATTGTGATTGATTGTACAGTGGTTATTTCAAAAATAATTAAGGGATACTTTTAAACGTTGCTGCTGCAGATAGCTTAATTATCAGCAAAGCAAAATTGAAGAGGCAAACTCTATAAGCATGAGCAAAAAGTTAAAAGATTGTTTCACCTTTATTTAACAGTCACTTCTTGTTCATCATCTTTAGTCCAGATGGTGGTGGGTGATGAATAGTTGGGATGCATGTGTGGGGGATACAATTTTATCTCCACAATTTCCTCTTTATGTAAGTTAGATTTATTTTATTTATTTATTAAATTTATATGCTGCCCACCTACCCAATAAGACGACTCCCCAATAAGGTTGAAAAAGTCACTGGTATTACCTAGTGAGCTTCATACTTGAATGAGGATTTGACTCTTGGATGCCCTTGATTAAAGTCCAACAACTTACTTAACTCTTAATCAATACACCCTTCACTCAAAACATTACCTGAAAATCTTCACTTATAAAAATGTGTTTTATCTAGTATGCCTATCTAGGCACAAAAATCCATGGGCAGTGATTATATGCCTCAGGAGCTGTCCCAAAGAAGAGACTTGGTTATGCCACCGGGACTAAATGGAATGGCTGACTTCAGCTGAATAGATTTTGATTCATCATTAGGAAAAGTTTCTTAACAGTGAACAGTCTGTCATATAAAGCAAGTCCTTCAAGGAATGGTGGGTTCTTTCTGGAGATCTTCAAGACCATTTCTGGAAAGCGTATTTAATGAGATGACTGATATCAAGAACACTATAATTCTGGATTTTCTGTATCAAAGATGGGGGTTACACTCAATGTTCTGCCAGGCCTCCTTCAACATTAGATCCTCTATGTTAAGGGCTCTATAATTTAAAATGGGGCGAGATGAGTAGAAGAAAAGTATTGAATAATTTATTTATAGTTACATGGGCATGGGGCATGAGCATGGGGGTTGTATCTGGATTATATGGGAGGCAGACTTTTTTTCCCATGAAGTACCTTGAAGCCCTGAGAACATCTGGATTGATTCATACATTTTTTTTAAGAGGAAAAAGTGACTTACTGACAGAAGGCTTCCAAAGTTTAACAGCAAATGGTTTCTTGTAGACCCACTACTGACAAATTTGAGATAAAGTGGTTAAAAAATTATCTTGACACTGCAAGGATAATGAAGTACAACTTGAAACTATGCATTTAAATTTAGGCCTCTGACAGGGAAATATTTTAATTTCAGCTGCCATCCTAATTAAATTACTAGATTTTCTGGGTGTGTGTGTGTCTCTGCAAGTTATTTAGACTGATTCATGACTAAGTGAGTATTCTATCAAGGATTCATATTGAACTAGATCACAAGTTCAACACCAGATTCAGACAGTTCTACATCCACCTTCCCACTCTCACACGCACATATAGGCGGCTCTTTATCAAGAACAGTCCTATAGCCTCTTATTCTGAAAAGGACTCATCATGGCTTCTCATGTTCTCCTTAACGAGTTTGCTTAAGATTTAAACATTATAGTAATCCTATCCAGAAATAAGTCCATTCAAGTGTAATTAAACTTACAAATTCAAAAAAGATGGTTTCACTTGAATGAAAATTGAACCGTGGACACAGAAAGAAGCACCTGGTTCTAAGAAGCAGTTAAAAATTAATGTCAAGTAAACTTCAGCAAACCTAGAGGTCCAGGCAAGAGCTATATTTGCCATGAACCAAAAGAACAAAATGAAATGCAAAATGCTTCTATCAGATGGGGATAAAGAAAAGGCAAATCTAATCAAATTCTGGTCAGACAGTGTACACATGCTTGATATTTCTCTCAAATGTCAGACTGTTTCAGATGATCAAAGCATGATGATCTGGATCTGGATTTTTGTAAAATCAATCATCTTCAACAACGGGGGTGTTGGCTGTGTCTTTTCAGCAGCTGCCCATGGGATGCCCCTGTTCAGAAGCAGTTTTAAAGGCAACTGCCGTTTTCTACTTTTTTTTCCAAGACTGACACTGAGATCTGAGAACAAACTTACACACTACGGAGAAACATAAGAATCTTAACCAATATGAGAATGGAGAAGTATTTGCAAATGGCCACAGATCTTTTGAAGCTCCCTTAATTCCTCTGACTACTCAGAAATTTAAAGTGACTCTAGGAGTATTTATAGGAGAATTTTAAAGAGATAAAAGCCATCTATCTCTGATATTTCTCTTTAAACTCTTTCCTTCTAAATTCCTTCACTTATTTAATCAAATTTAGGTTTGACAAAATGCCACAGATATAATAATAATAATGTCATGATTCCGACAGATGAAACCCTTCAAAAGAACTTTGAGGCATACAAATAGAA